AGGAGGAGGAGGAGGAGGCCTCTTGGGGCACTCTTTTGGCCTAGCTTCCTGAGGGCCTCTTGGAGGCCTTTTGGATTCTTCCTAGGGCCTCTTGGGGGCCTGTGAATGCTCCTTGGGGTGCTCTGTGGCCGTCTGAGATCGTTCCTGGCTTGTCCGACGCCGTTGGAAGCCGTCTTGCGGGCCTCTCTGGGTCGACTTGGGGCCCTCTTGCGGCGCTGCATGGCCGTCTTGGAGACCATCTTGGCCGTCTTGGAGGTCTCCTGGGCCGTCTTGGGGGCCTCTTGGGCCGTCAGGGGTCCATCTCGGAGGTTTCTTGGGCTCTATTGGGACCATCTTGGTGGCCTCTGGGGCCGTCTTGGGCCGTCGGACTGCCGAAAACGAGCAAACGCAAGCATCAGTCTAAACACCATTGGAACATCTCGGATTTGGGCATCTTCGGGCTTTCCTGGAGGTACTCTTGGAGGCCTCTTGGGCCGTCTGGAGGCCTCGTGGGCCGTCTTGGCCGATCTTGAGTCCATCTTGGGGGCATCTCGGCTGGTCTTGGAGGCACCTTGGGACCATCTCGGAGGCCATCGTGGGCCATCTTGGCCGTCTTGGAGGCATCTTGGATGCCGTCTTGGGACGATTTGTTGTGCACGTTGAGATCGTTGCGCCGCTTTCTGGGTGAACGGCGGGCTGGGTGAGGGGCCCATGCGGACTTCGTGTTAAGCGACCAAGAACTACCTGACACCTGGCACGCCGTGCACGCGTGTGGCAAGCCAACGGGGGGCTCCGGATCTAGTGGTCTTCGGCCCATCCCGCAACCATGCTTGGGTTGTGGGCCAGAAGGTCTTCGGCGCTGCTGGGGGGCTCTGGGGGGTCTTGGGGCAGTCTGTGAGGACGAAACTCCCAAGGCTTCTTCGCTCTCCCCCATCATGGGCCCCTCTTTGGGCGCTTAAGGAGGCCTCTCGAGCCATACTGGGAAGTTGTGTGGCTCTCTTTGGACCGTCGTGGGGCCTTCTTGGAGATTTCTTGGGCAGTCTCGAGACTATCTTGAGGGTTTCTGGGCCGTCTTGGAGTGTCAGAGGCCCGAAACAATTATAACGCTAAATTGATTCAACTACTCGAGGGAAATCAATTATTTGGGCCCCTCGGGGTCCTGTTTGAGGGTCCTCTGAAGGCCATCTTTGGGCGTATCGGGGGTATATTGGGCTGTCTTGAGGCCGTCGTGTGGTCCTCTTGGACCGCTCGGTGCCCTGTTGGGCAGACCAGGGACTCTCGTGTCAACTTCTTGGGCTATCTTGGAGCTTTCTGACCCAAGGAAAAGTCACGCGAGAAGCCCCAGAGAACACCCGAGAAGCCCCGGAATGTCCAGCAATGGGGGGTTGAGCCCCTAATTTACAGAGCATTTGCACGACCAACTTCAGGGCACTCCACTCAGTGTCTACGGCAAGATGGCAGATAAGTGAGCATGAGTGCGAGCGAGTGTGAATACGAGTGACTGGTTATGAATGAGTCTGTGCAGAATAGGGTAGGAGTGAGTGGTCGGGTATGAGCTTGAATGACTCTGGGTATGAGTGGGTCTGAGTATGACTGAGTCTGGGTGCGATCGAGTCTGAGTGTAAGCATTTCTATCTGAGTGCGACAGATTTGAAATGAGTGCTCACTTATGAGCGAATCTGGGTATGCGTGGTATGGGTAAGGCTGGGTATTAGTGTGCGTGCGTGTGCGTGTGATCGACTGGGTATGAGTGGTCTGAGTGTGAACGGCCTGAGTATGAGTCTGAGTATGAGTGGGCTTGAATGTGAGCGAAGAGGAGTATGAGTACGTCTGAGCTCGAGGAACGGGATCCGGGGGGGGTCCTGGGGCCTCCTGGGCGTTCCTGGGGCCTCTTCGGGGGTTGTGGGGCCCCCTTAGGGTTCCTGGAGCTTGGGGCCCCCTGGAGCGTCCTGGGGTCCCCTGGGGCTTCCTAAGCTTTCTGGTGCAACATCCCCAGTTTACTACCTAGGAGGAGGCCCGAAGTTCGATGCCAGCTACATCGCGGTGATATACATGAAACATGCCAACTTCCAAGAACAGCCACTCTACTGGAGAGGTTCCGCGAACTTTGACGCGAATGGGCCCGTGATACATCGTGATTTATTCCTTGGCGGTTCATCCCTAGGGAGGCCCGAAGTGCGATGCTTGCTACATCGTGGGGGTCACGTGGCCATGAAAATAGACACGTCTGAGAGGCCACACCAATCTGCACGCGAAGGGGCCCGTGATGTACCTCTTGGCGGCTCCCCCTTGAGAGGCCCAAAGTGTAACGTCTGCTGCATCGCAGTTGTCACGGGGCTCCTAACAGAGACCCGCCTATCTCCATAAACGGCCATTCAAGTTGAGACGACCAGACCATCGGACAGTTTGCCTGCAGTCAAAGTACAATGTGGGTATTGCAGGGGGGCGCTGGCTGCAGCGGATGGCAGCCACATTTGGACGCAAGCGGGCCCGTGATAGACGCCTTGGCGGCCCCATGTAAGAGACCCAAAGTGCGATGCCTGCTACATCGCGGTGACGACGGGGCTGCTCGTCCCCTGGGAGGTCCGCAGCGCGATGCCTGCTACATCGCGGTGGTCACGGGGTCATGATCGGAGGCCTGCGGGTTGACATCAACACCACTGTCGGCGATGCGCCTCGACAGAGGGAGGATGATCCCGGTCTCGGAGATGGTGGTAATACTCGGGTTTCCAGCACAAGCACGCAAGCATCCAGGCTCATTTCCCCCTTGTGGGGGCAACCCCCTGTGTTGGTGTTGGTGCTCGTTTCAAGCCTTCCAGAATGAAAAGAGACGTAAGCAGTCATTGTGCTACCCTAAGGAACGAGGGTTTGTTTTTGGTCCTGAGGAACGGCCCGAACACCCTGAGCCCCTCCTGAGCCCAAACCGGTCCTCACTTCAGCGTCCCCACTTTGTCTGACTCCAGGCATACGCCCGACAACGGCCATTCGACGTGCGAGGCCCTGCCGGCTCTGGGCCGGCCGTGCCGGCACACAGATGGGAGAGGCCCTCTCCGCCTGCCATCTCCGCGTCCCCTTTCGGCTCCGCTCACCGTGGCACCCTCCTCTCGGCGGCGCGAGGTGGGGGAAGGCTTTTCGGGCGTCTCCGTCGCTTCTCGGCCGTTTTCCAGCTTCGAGATGCTTGCTCGCAGCTGCGCCTCGCCGAGGGCGCTCTGGGGGTGCCTGGATCGTCCCGAACGGCACGAATCGGCGGCGCGCCCAGGGGAAATGTGAGAGGGAGAGGGCCTTCTCAGAAAGCGGCGGGGCTTCTCAGGAGCCATCCAGCCTTCTGAGAAGTTCTGCGTGTCTTCGGGGAAGGCTTCGGACACTTTTCAGAAGGCCCGAGGCCTTCCGAGCCTTTGAGAACGCCCGCCCCTTCGCACTTCTCCCCTGGGCTCGCTACCGAGGATGGGCAGCGGGTTCTAACCTCATGAACAGGGGGGGGGTCGGGAGGCCCCGGGGAGGTTCAGAGTGCGTAGACCCCCGCCGTTCTGTCAGGGAGCGGGCCTTCTCAGAAGGCGACGGGGCCTCTCGGAAGCCCCCCAGCTGGGAAGTTCCCCGGGCCTTCGGGGAAGGCTCCGGAATTTTCTCGGTAGACCCTGGGCCTTCCGCCGCCTTCTGAGAAGGACTCCCAGGGCCCATAGCGTCTCCTCCGATTCGATTCGTTTCGAGTTCGCTGGCGTCCGATTCCGACTCGATTCGACTTCGGAATCCGATTCGGACTCTGATTTCTCCACGGAGGTTTTGCTAGCCTGCCAAGCTCCGCCGAATCGACTTCTCCCGACTTGGCCGCCGATTTCCGCCGATCCGATTCATGTCGAACGCCGATCCGATTGATCGATTGGATTCTGGGCTCTCCTGCCCCGCGCCAATCATTACATCGGCGCTCCTATAGTGTATTCCGTTTTGCAAAGCACGGCTCCGCACGGATGCAACGCAGCCGCATGACTGCAATGTCGTTGCAATAAGAAAGTCGTGCACGAGCCTCGCGGACCTGGGCAGACACCGCGCTCGGGCGCGAACGCTGACAAATCCCGCGCGCGTTCCGGACCGCCAGGGGCAGAAAAATAGATCCGCCGCCGGAATTTGTTTTGCAGAGCACTGTAATTTTCGGGTCCGTCGGACATGACTCGAAACGTCCCACGCAAACGGGCCACTTTTGGGTTGGCTGGTCAAACTTTCGGATCGTTGTGGGAGCATGCCCGATAGATCTTATTGAGGTGGTCCTATGCGGTTTGCTCATTGTCGGGTCCATACACTGTTTGGCATTGACAACTTTAAGCTGGGAACCGGAGCCCGACTTCGGCCCAGAGGGCAGGGGGCTGGGTTCACATTGCACTGGTCGGGCGAAGGGAACTATGCACATGCACCGATCCTGGCAAGGTCCATCCTTGACCCAGGATCGGTGCATATACCTTCCTAGCCAAGGTAGCAGGGCGTATGCACCGATCCTGGGCTTAGCATGGGCCCGGCCAGAATCGGTGTATGTGCATAGTTCTCTTTCCTCTAACTGGGCCCTTGTGGCCAAGCGGGGCGGGGCGCGGATCCTGCCTCCGCCTCCGCCGCCCTTCCATCCTCGCTCCCCGAGCTGCCTCCGCTGGCTATCTTCGACCTCGCGCCGGCCTAGATGGCGACGAGATGCACCGTGACAGAATTGGGGGAACGTTGGCATCGGCGCAGTAGAAACAGAAACATCGCATAAGCATGAACTTTCGAAGGCTCGTGCGGATTTATTGGATCTGCGCTGGACCCCCCTCCCCCTCCCTGGCGCGCGGAGCGCATCAGGGACAGCGCCAGAGGCGCCGCCATTGGGGGCCCAGCGCGGATCCAAGAAATCCGCTCGGAGCTCCAGCAGCTAATGTTTACCGTTTTTTCTAGTCTTCGAACCATGCACCCTCCTTCGCGCCCGCCTTCGAGAAGCCTCTCTCTGTCTTCGGAGAAGGCCATAGAAAGCTCCTCAGAAAGGATCGGTTGGGCGAGATACCCCTGCATTGTGACACGTACTTGGTGCCCTGCGGGCGATGCTCTACAGCCGAGCATCTGATTAAGGAACCTCCTCCCGAGAAGATGGACCAGCGTTTCTTAGCTAGCCCTTTTGCTGGGAAAGCTGGCCCAGTTTCGTGAGCACGCCCGCCCCTCAAACATCAATAACATACATTGGCCTAGGGCTGGGGCTGTTTTTTATGAATCCTCGGAAAGTCGGCCCAGGTGTCTTAAATCATACCTCCCTTGGTCTTGATTTCGGCTCTATTTCTTCTGCGTGTCTTCCTTCTCCGATTGGCTTGGTCGGCGTTCTCCAGGGGCTGCGCCAGCCGCCGCCCGCGCCCAGCAGCATTGGTCGCTTCGCTTGCAACGGCGCGCGCGCGTGTGTGTGTGTGTATATATCTATATATATATATATATATATATATATATCGGAGGTGAGGGGGTGAGATCGAAGTGGAACGGAGAGCCCCCCACCGGGAAATCGGTTTCGGTTTCGTGTTCGTGTCATGCGTGCGGGCGAGGCGAAGCTGCGTGGGCGGGCGAGAGGAATTCACTCTGCTGTCGCTAGGGGTCCGCCAACACAAATGTTTCCCCCCCCGGCCTTGTCAAGCGGGGGCCCACATTGTCCCGTCGGTGGCTCGCCGTTGTCCCGTCGGTGTCCCGTCGGTGTTCCGTCGGTGTCCTGTCGTGAGATCGATAGTGAGATCGGCTGTGAGACCGATCGTGAGATCGATAGTGATATCGATAGTGAGATCGATAGTGAGATCGATAGTGAGACCGAATGTGGGATCGATTGTGATATCGATTGAGATCTATAGTGAGATCGAATGTGAGATCGATAGTGAGATCGATAGTGAGATATATTGTGAGATCCATAGTCTGATAGTGGGATCGATAGTGAGATCGATGGTGAGATCGATAGTGAGATCGATTATGAGACCGAATGTGAGACCGAATGTTGGATCGATAGTGAGATCGATAGTGAGATCGATCGTGAAATTGTTAGTGACACCGAAAGTGAGATCGATTATGAGATCGAATGTGAGATCGATAGTGGGATCGATAGTGAGATCGATTGTGAGATCGATTGTGAGATCGATAGTTAGGTGTGTCTAAATGTACCTGAGGACAGCACGACCCACCCCCAGCTGGTGATCCAGGGGGTCTTGGCTGGAGGGGGGACCCCCAAGAGCTCCAAACAACCACCCCCACCCCCAGCCAGGACGCCCTGGACTACCAGGTCGGGGATGGGAGTCCTGGGGTTGGGTCGTGCTGTCCTCAGCACCCTCGCTGCCCATACCCAGGTATGCGGGTGGCTTGGTCGACCCAATTTGGGTCCTACACGTTCTGAGCGGCCCCATGCGCGAGCGCGCCCGCCCGTTCGGTGACTTTCTCAGCCTCGACGCTGCGCGCGAGGCCGCGACCGCCAAACAGTATATGTGTGTGCTCGCTGCGCAGTGGCCATCTCGCTCCTCCTTCGCCTCCTCCCTCCCCTACATACGCTCCGCGATTTGATTCGTGCGCCTCGTCATAAATGTGCCAATTCGATGCCATCCCATTCCGATGCGTCGTTCCGCAGTTTGGATCCAGCTGCTCGTTAGAAAAGAGAGCGGGTGTGGTTACAGGGCCCTGTGCTCCTCCTCCCCAGGAGTGTTGGCTTGGCCCGGGCGAGGCGCTGTTCGGCGGTTTCCTTGCACCCGCGGGCGGGGCGTTCGCGTACCGGCTGGCCCCAGAGGCGGCAGGGGCCGTTGGCTCGGACGCACTCTATCTCTGCGATCGCACGCTCCAGCCGTCGCAGATCATCCCCCCATCTGGAATCTTGTGATGACAAGCAGCTTACATGTTGGAACAGCTTCCAGGTTCGCGGACTGCTACCATCGGTCGCATCTCGCCGGGATCTTTCCGAGGGCGCCCAGATGTTCTCAACCGGCCAAAATAGGCGCCAGAGGTTTGGCTTGTTGACCAACAGGTGACGTGTATGTGTTTCAGATTACGTACCACCTGTCCTTGAACATTGCCCCCCACGCTGCGGTGGTGAGCACCAGCCCGGGCTAGGCCAGCTGGGGGCCAGAGCCGTGCCAGTCCATGACCCCCGTGGATTCGATACCCTCCAGCCTCCCAGAGTTATCTGTTGGACTTCCTGGGTCGTGACGTGCCCATGTAGCCGGCGACGTGGCTGAATGTCACCCCCGGGGGGAGCATGGCCGAGGGCGCTGGGACGAGGGCCAGTAACCACGGGCGGGAAGATAGCCTCACATTGCGTGATTCCCTCCTCCCCAGCCCACCTCCCCTGCAATCCCCCACCTCCCCTTCCCTCTGTTCCTATCTTTTCCCCCATAGGTGCCATCTGTCGCTAGGGCAGCCGCACTTCTCCTCGCAGCACGAAGACATTTGACGCAGGTCGGGTGCCCAATCCTCAAGCTGGACACCTGGGGGGGCCCGAGAGATGGCTACATGTTGTTTGCAGAGCTCGTTCGACTGTTCCCTCGCTATGGACGTTCTTCGCCCAGTATCCGATGTTGTCTTAAGAGGACTTCCAGGCGGCGTTCACCCCACAGCGTCGAAGTGCAATGTTGTTTCCCTCAGTATTCGGTTAGGACCTCCAGAGGCTAGAGTTGGCTGGCATCCTTGCAGATCGACCCAGTGCGCCAAGAGTCCTGTGCGTGCACCTCTGGACCCAAGCAGAGCCGCGAGATGATTTTACACCGCTTCTGACGATGATTGTGTCTGGAATGATCTCCGCCTGGTACCATGATCCAGCGTGGTGGCTCTGGCCCATGGAGGTGGGTCAGGGAAGAGAGCGGTTCTTCTCGTCTCCGAGGTTGCTGGCTGCGACGCCTGCATGTTCGGGATTCTTGTTTAGGCTTCCAGGCTTTCCGCAGTGCCCTGCTCGGCGGTGGCCTCCAAAGTTTTCTCAGCGCAGTGCTGGGATCTGTGACTGTAGGGCTGGGCTAGCTCCACTCTTCGCCCACGCGTCTCGCTCAAGTTCCTCTCTTCGGACGTGGCCAGGACGAGGATAAATCCGTTCCAGAGCGTTCCGGAGCGCTCTCAGAGCATTCCAGAGTGCTCTCAGAGCGTTCGAGAGCGCTTTGAGAAGGCCGCGTCGTCCGATACATCCTCCAGAGCTGCTCGATCTCAGAGATTCTCGTTTTGCCATCATCCGAATTTGCCCTCGTCCTGGCTTCATCTTATCTCATTGCCTCCTGCTCCGTTAGCTCTCCCCCTTTCGACTCCTTCTTCTATTGCTCTCCGCGCTGCTCTACGACACTGTGCCTCTACCATCTCGTCTCGCTTCCTTGGGGTCCGTCGGAGCGGAAGTCGAGCGCATTACCTCGACATGTATGTTGTCGAATATTCGGGCCCGTGTTCGGCGCTCTCTTCGGATTCCTTGAAGCTATACTTGGGCCCTCTTGGCATTTGAAGCAGCGCAGGCGGAATTGACATCTTGGGCTATCTTCGCGGGCCTCTCGTAGCGCCTTTTCTGGACTGGTGGAGCAGCGAAGCGGGGCCCCACCTTTTGGGGCGGATGGCAATGCGGGGTGGCCCGAAGGGCCCTAAAAGGGGCCCTTTGGGGCCCCGTTTGGAGTTAGCAGGGGCTCAAAGGAGGCCCTCAAGGGCCCTGTTCTTCACTCCCCGTTTAGGTCCCCCCCATTAGCTACCACCCGCCCGCTCATTCAGGACGTGGCCCGCAGGCCTCTCGGGGTGCCCTGGCATCGCTCGGACGTGTGCATATTGTCTCGGCGAGGACCATCGAGGAGCATCCTGGATCATCTTGCAAAAAAAAGTGCACGGAATAAACACGTACACGGGAAATGGACGTCCCAGCGATGGCGAGGTACGGAAGATTACACAGGCCATTGTGGTACGTACGGCAGATTCGCGCCATGTCGACGCGACGCCACCAGTGGCCCAGAATCGGCCGATATGGAGCGATCTGGCGATCGAAAGCCGCCGATCGTTCAAGGTTGAACGACCCAAACGGTGTCAGAAGCAATCGTCACGACACTAACCTGCAGGATTTGCGGATCGATCCTGACTGGAGCAGTGCGACCCACTGTTTTCCGCCGTGGGGAGGGGGATGGTGATTCCAAGGCGGGTGGTCTTATGTGCTTCTCACCCTTCAGATCATGGCGTTCGCGGCATCGTAGGCGTCCATCTGTAGAGTGGTGTGTCGTGTTCTCGGCATAGATGGGGAGGTGCATTCGGCCATGCTTGCGCAGACGTGCGTGCGAGCACGCTGACATACAATTACTTGTGACATGTGGCATTTGCGTGCTGCTTTTCCGATTGATCTTAGTAGGTATCGAGTAACGTTTAATTCGTCAACTGCACCCTTGATTGTTTTGGCGTGCAGCCAAACTCACGGGGTGCTGACTTCGCACGGTGCTGGACATTCCTTCACGGCCCACTCTGTCTCCGGCTGCGAACGGCCATTCTGCACTAGTCGCGCGACGTTTTGTTTTCTCTGGTCAGTCTTGGTTAGCTGCTGCAGTCAGGGTATTGCTGCGCTGGCCACACGATTACCGCCATGGAGTGGCAACCTCAGCGGTGAGAAACATGGTCGTCCATCTCTTGTCCATGCTTCAGGGGGTAGTTTAATGCGCTGTTCCCTCGCGTTGCGACGCGATGAATATGTCCAAGGTTCCATGGTTTGACCTTGCTGGAGGACGAGAAGCAGGAGAAGAAGGAGTGATCAAAGTTTACGACTCGGGTAGCTCACATAACATAGCTTACACCACATAGCTTGCATCATGTAGCTTGCAACACAAGCTTGCACGACGTAGTGTGCACCACATAGCTTGCACATGCAGGGTGCAATAAGTCACTGTTTGGGGTTCGCGCTGGCAAACCTGATTGTACATTTGTATGACTTTTGTTGGGCGTATGGATGTAAGCTTGTGATTCTGCAGCAAAGAACCGAAGCGCACCGTGCAACAATCGCGCAGTGCCTGTCAATGCGGACATGCCGACGGTTATATGTCAGTGTTCACGTCGGATTTCAGTACAGGGCTCGACCTAGACAGTTGTTTGGCGACTTCGTGAACCGTTGTCGTTTGAAGTTCGTTTTGCAGCATAGGCGGAACTAGAACAGAACGAGGGAACACGAAAACAACGAGAACGAGTTCGGTATAGACGCAGACTAGCCCCATGATGTAACCTAAGCGCGCGAATCGCGCGCGCACGTTTCCAATCGATCTCTAATTGTGAGACCGAATGGGAGGAGGATGATGATGATGAGGAGGAGGAGGAGGAGGAGGAGGAGGAGGAGGAGGAGGAGGAGGGGGAGGAGAGGGGCGGAGGCAGAGGAGGAGGCGGAGGAGGAGGAGGAGGAGGAAGAGGAGGAGGAGGAGGAGAGGAGGAGGAGGAGGAGGAGGAGGGAGGAGGAGGAGGAGGAGGAGTGGAAGGGGGAGGAGGAGAAGAAGTGGGAGGGGAGGGGGAGGAGGGCTGAGGAGGAGGAGGAGGAGGAGGGGGAGAAGAGGAAAAGTGGAGGAGGAGGAGGAGGACCAGTGTACAACCAAGAGTCATCAACGATATTGGCATAAACCCTCCCTCCAAGCTCCCTCTTCACATGCCCCTACAAGGGCTCATTTCCACTGAGGGAACTGTCTCGTTGGAAAACAACAGTTTTGAAGACCCCAAAGCATGCCGAAACGTGCTTCCCGGGACTCCAACGCCACGGATCAAACTGACCATTGCGTCCTGGCGATCTTGAATCGTGCCAGAACGCCATTCTTGGGATTTCAACAGCGCAAATCAATGTACCTGTTGCACCCTCATAATCCGCATTCTCTTCGAAACACCATTTCTGGTACGTTGACCATGGGAACCTGGGAAATTCTTGTTTTCTTCCCCAACCATCTTGTGGTGGTGGGTCCTCGTTTTGAAGAGGCAGCGCCCCGCGTTCCTCCTCATTCTCCCGCTGCCCCCTCCTCCCTCTCTCCTCCCGTCACCCCCCTCATTTTGGCACACCCCTCGCACGCTTCGCGGCCCCATCGGGTGCTCCGCCGAAGGCCCCGGTGCCAGGGTCTCCACATGCGGTTCCCCGCCCATTTCGGCACACCCCTCACACGCTTCGCGGCCTCATAGGGTGCTCCGCTGAAGGCCCCAGTGGCAGGGTCCACATGCGGTTCCCCGCCCATTTCGGCACATCCCTCACACATTTCGTGGCCCCGTCGGGAGCTCCACGGAAGGCCCCAGTGGCACCGGTTCCCCGCCCATTTCGGCACACCCCTCACACGTTTCGTGGCCCCATAGGGAGCTCCACCGAAGGCCCCAGTGCCAGGGTCCGCATGTGGTTCCCCGCCCATTTCGGCACACCCCTCGCACGTTTCGTGGCCCCATAGGGAGCTCCACCGAAGGCCCCAGTGGCAGGGTCCACATGCGGTTCCCCGCCCATTTCGGCGCATCCCTCACACGGTTCGTGGCCATAGTGTGGTCCACCGAAGGCCCCAGTGCCACCGTCCGCATGCAGTTCCACCGTTTCGGCGCACCCATCGAATGTTTCGCGGCCCCATAGGGTGTTCCACCGAAGGCACCAGTGGCAGGGTCCGCATGCAGTTCCACTTCCATTTCGGCGCACCCCTCACACGTTTCGTGGCCCCATAGGGGGCTCCGCCGAAGGCCCCAGTGGCAGGGTCCGCATGCAGTTCCAGCCCTATTTCGGCGCACCCCTCACACGCTTCCTGGCCCCATAGGGTGCTCCGCCGAAGGTGGCAGGGTCCGCATGCAGTTCCACCTCCATTTCGGCGCTCCCCTCATATGTTTCGTGGCCCCGATAGGATGCTCCACCGAAGGTGGCGGGGTCCGCATGCAGTTCCATCTCCATTTTGACGCACCCCTCACACGTTTCGTGGCCCCATAGGGTGCTCCGCCGAAGACCCCAATGGCAGTATCTCTGTATGCAATTGCACCTCCATTTCGGGGCACCGCTCACACGTTTCGTGGCCCCACAGGGTGCTCCTCCGAAGGCCCCAGTGGCAGGGTCCGCATGCAGTTCCACCCCAATTTCGGCACACCTCTCACACGTTTCGTGGCCCCATAGGGTGCTCCGCCGAAGGCCCCGGAGGCAGGGTCTGCATGCACTGCACTTGCACCCTGGCGTGCCCCTCACACGTTTCGTGGCCCCATAGGGTGCTCCGCCGAAGGCCCCAGTGGCAGGGCCCGCATGCAGTTGCACCCCCATTTCGGCGCATCCCTCACACGTTTCGTGGCCCCGTAAGGTGCTCCACCGAAGGCCCCAGTGGCAGCGCCCGCACGCGGTTCCGCCCTGCACTTCGGCGCACCCCTCGCACGTTTCGTGGCTTCACTTGGGGCTCCACCGACGGCTCGGGTGGCAGCGTCCGCATGGCGTACCCGTGCCAATTCCGCCACACCCGTCACACGCGTTGTGGCCCCAGAGAGAGGATCACCGAGGACGATACCCACAACTGCGTTACTCACAACTGCACATGCTTGCGTACTTCGCCTGGATCCTTTTTCAAACGAGAGCCACATTTTGACAACCACCCGCCCTCATTCCGTGAAACTCCTACACAGTTTTAAAACGAATGTGTGCGGCGCTATGACGAGAGCTACATTTTGAAAACCACCCGCCCTCAATCCGTGAACCAGTTGCCAATGTTAAAGCTTCATGGTCGTACATGGTAAGGAAGTCTCAGGCGAAACGCCTGGCCCGCCCATTCGACCGGCCTCGGGGTGCGACAGGGAGAAGTTACTCATAAGGAAAAGAGGAGGAGGAGGAGGAGGAGGAGGAGGAGGAGGAGGAGGAGGAGGGAGGAGGGAGGAGGAGGAGGAGGAGGAGGAGGAGGAGGAGGGAGGAGGAGGAGGAGGAGGAGGAGGAGGAGGAGGGAGGAGGAGGAGGAGGAGGAGGAGGAGGGAGGAGAGGAGGAGGAGGAGAGGAGAGGAGGAGGAGAGGAGGAGGAGGAGGAGGAGGAGAGGGGGTGAAGGGGGGGGAAAGAGGAAGAGGGCGCAGAGGGGAAGAGGGGAAGAGGGGGAAGAGGGGGAAAAGGGGGAAAAGGGGAAAAGCGTGAAAACTGGTGAAAAGGGGGAAGGGGAAAAGGGGAAAAAGGGGGAAAAGGGGAGGAGGAGGAGGGAGGAGGAGGAGGAGGAGAGAGGAGAGAGGAGGGAAAAGGGAGGAGGGAGGAGGGAGGAGGCAGGAGAGGAGGGAGGAGGGGAGAGAGGAGAGAGGATGGAGCAGGGAGGAGAGAGGAGGAGGGAGTAGGAGGGAGGAGGAGGCAGGCAGGAGGAGGGAGGAGGGATGGGGGGAGGAGGGAGGAGGGAGGAGGGAGGAGGGAGAGGAGGAGGGGGAGGAGGAGGAGGAGGAGGAGGAGGAGGAGGAGGAGGAGGAGGAGGAGGAGGAAGAGGAGGAGGAGGAGGAGAGGAGGAGGAGGAGGAGGAGGAGGAGGAGGAGGAAGGAGGGGGGAAAAGGGGGAAAAGGGGAGGAGGGAGGAGGGAGGAGGGAGGAGGGGAGGAGGGAGGAGGAGGGAGGAGAGAGGAGGGAGGAGGGAGGAGGGGAGGAGGGAGGAGGAGAGGACGCAGCAGGGTGGAGGGAGGAGGGGGGAGGAGGGAGGAGGAGGAGGAGGCAGGAGGAGTGGGGAGGAAGCAGGAGGCAGGAGGGAGGATCAACCCCGCGACTCGCCTGAACCCCCCAACCTTCTGGCCGGATGTCTTTTCTTCTTTCCGCCAGGGGTCAATTTTCGCGGCAACTTGTTAAGCCCGGGACCCCTGGCGGCGCATGTTTTTCTGTCCTTCTTCCGCGCCCGAGTTGCCATTGGAACCACTCTCTAGCGCAACCACTGTTAGAGTGTTGCTGCATTTCACTAACAAGCTGGGCTCTCACGCTTTTCCTCCTCTGGTTGCGCTGGGGAGGGTGGGACACCTCGCGCGGGCACCCCCGAGGCTGAGAATTCATTCTTCTTTCAGAATTTGAGGCGGGGGTAACCCCCGTGCTCGAACCCTTCGCCAGGGAATGTTCCCAACCATCCTGTGGTGTTGGGTCTTCGTTTTGAAGAGACGGTCCCCGCGTTCCTTCTCCTCCTCCTCGGCCCCTTCCTCCTCCTCCTCCTCCTCCTACCGTCCGCATGCGTCCCCCCCACCCAGTACAGCGCTTCGTGGCCCCATAGGGAGCCCCACTGAAGGTCCCAGTGCTACCGTCCGCATGTGCCCCCCCCCACCCAGTACATGGCTTCGTGGCCCCATAGGGAGCTCCACCGAAGGCCCCAGTGCCATCGTCCACATGCGTCCCCCCCACTCAATACAACGCTTCGTGGCCCCATAGGGAGCTCCACCGAAGGCCCCAGTGCCACCGTCCACATGCGTCCCCCCACTCAGTGCAGCGTTTCGTGGCCCCATAGGGAGCTCCACCGAAGGCCCCAGTGCCACCGTCCACATGCGTCCCCCCCACTGAGTACAGCGTTTCGTGGCCCCATAGGGAGCTCCACCAAAGGCCCCAGTGCCACCGTCCACATGCGTCCCCCCCACTCAGTACAGCGTTTCGTGGCCCCATAGGGAGCTCCACCGAAGGCCCCAGTGCCACCGTCCTCATGCGTCCCCCCCACTGAGTACAGCGTTTCGTGGCCCCATAGGGAGCTCCACCGAAGGCCCCAGTGCCACCGTCCACATGCGTCCCCCCCACTCAGTACAGCGCTTCGTGGCCCCATAGGGAGCTCCACCGAAGGCCCCAGTGCCACCGTCCACATGCGTCCCCCCACTCAGTACAGCGTTTCGTGGCCCCATAGGGAGCTCACCGAAGGCCCCAGTGCCACCGTCCACATGCGCCCCCCCACTGAGTACAGCGTTTCGTGGCCCCATAGGGAGCCCCACCGAAGGTCACAGTGCTACCGTCCACATGCGTCCCCCCCCACTGAGTACAGCGTTTCGTGGCCACATAGGGAGCTCCACCGAAGCCCCCAGTGGGACCGTCCGAGTGCGTCCTGAAACACCCAATTTGGCATTTCCACCCACCCATTACAGCGTTTCGTGGCCCCACAGGGAGCTCCACCGAAGGCCCCAGTGCCACCGTCCGCATGCGTCTTACACCCAATGTGGCATGTTCACCCAACCAGTACAGCGTTTCATGGCCCCACAGGGAGCTCCACCGAAGGCCCCAGTGGGACCGTCCGCAAGCGTCCCGAAACACCCATTGTGGCACTTTCACCCACCCAGTCCGAAATTTCGTGGCCCCGTAGGGAACTCCACCGAAGGCCCCAGTGCCACCGTTCGCATGCGTCCCGAAAACCCAACGTGGCATTTTTACCCACCCAATACAGCGTTTCGTGGCCCCATAGGGAGCTCCACCGAACCCCCCAGTGGGACCGTCCGCATGCGTCCCGGTTCCACCCCCAATTTCAGCACACCCTTCACATGCTTCGTTGCCCCATAGGGAGCTCCACCGAAGGCCCCAGTGGCAGGGTTCGCATGCGGTTCCGCCCCCATTTCGGCGCGCCCTTCACACGTTTCGTTGCCCCAAAGGGCGTTCCACCGAAGGCCCCAGTGGCAGGGTTCGCATCCGCCCCCATTTCGGCACCTCCCTCACACGTTTCGTGGCCTCATAGGGAGCTTTACCGAAGGCCCTAGTTGCAGGGCTCGCATGCGTTTCCACCCCAATTTCGGTTCATCTCTGACATGTTTCTAGCCCCATAAGGAGCTCCACCCAAGACGATATTCACAACTGCGGCACTCACAAGTACATATGCTTGGGGCTTTCGCCAGATTGTGCCACTGCCGACAAGCTCAGTTCTTGAGGTTTGACTAACTTCAAAAAGGAGAAGGAGGAGGAGGAGGAGGAGGAGGAGGAGGAGGAGGAGGAGGAGGAGGAGGAGGAGAGGGAGGAGGAGAGGAGGAGGAGGAGGAGGAGGAGGAGGAGGAGGAGGAGGAGGAGGGAGTGCCCAACTGCACGGCCCTGGGCGCGATAGGCGCAAACTTCTGGCACACGCAGGGTGGGCTGCACCGACGATTTGCAACAGACTTTCGGCGGTGGTGGTGGCGGGCCCGGGGCCTCCCTTGCCATCGCCTTGTTCTTCCGCATGCTCCTCTGGCGGCGAGCCCAGGGGGGAAGTGAGAAGGGGCGGGCCTTCTCGGACGGCCCAGAAGGCCGGACGGCGTCTGAGACGACTCGCCGCCTTCAGAGAAGGCCTGCCCCCTCTCACCCTCTTCCTGGCGCGCCGCCGACTCCTGCCAAGTACCTTCCGAGCTGTACTTCTGATTGCTGGCCCCCCCACCCCACCATTAAAGTGGGGCAGGGGGGTGGCGAGGGGGAGGATCGAGTGAGCATAACCGGCATAAAGATAAATTGTCGGAGTTCCGCGCCGAGCTCCAAAACTTGATGATTCTTTGCAGTTTGTTGTTTCTCTATGCCAAGCCCCGTGCGAGTGGCTTGCCCTCCACTCCACCGTTCAAGTGGGGCGGGTGGGTGTGGGGGGGTGGCGAGGGGGAGGAGGCAGAGGGGGGCGGGATTTTACGCTGCGCGCGTGTGTGTGTGTGTGTGTGTGTGTGTGTGTGTGTGTGTGTGTGTGTGTGTCCGTTCGTTGCCCGCCCATAGCGGAGACATCGTGTCCTCGCACCGTCTCATACCAGGCTGGACGCCACGGCAAGCAATGCAGGCTGCACTGGATGAGGGGGAGTCACGTGGGTGGGGCACGGTCCACTGTGCAGCCACCCAATGCCAAACTACACCCCGCACGCTGCTCTTGTCGCACCCACCCGCCTGGACCGGCCCCATCCCGGCACTGGGCACACCGACGCTCACACGACTTGCGAGCAACACATGCCGCCTTGGTGGTTGCCGCTGTCGGTCTTGGTGGGTGGACCAGCCCGTTCCGGGTGGCGTGATGGGGCGGCACTTGCACCGCGCGACTCCGCACAAGGCTCACGGTAGCCTGTGGGAACACGAACGGGTTAGAGAGCGCGTTTGAGCCACACGTGCCACACGTGTACAAAAGGTATAAAAGGGGGGGAGGGGGCCCACGAAGAGGTTCAACCGGGGAAGGAGGAGAGGGCGGCATCGGAGCGGTTAGGGGACATGGGCCAAAGGCTACGGATACCTGCCATTCAGCGCTGCACGTCCACAGCGCAGCATAGCTGCGTGCGTGCGTGTGCGTGGCATTATAATTCAGCGTCAACACGGCGACCACATAACAACGACCACATCACAGCGCAGCATAGCGCAGCACTGCCGCGTGTGTGTGGCAGCACATCACAGCACAACGCAGCACAACGCAGCACATCACGACACACCACAGCACGACACGCACAACACCGCGCAACACATCACATCACAGCACATCATAGCACATCACAACACACGCCGCTTGGCGTGTGTGTATGAATGTTTGCGTGTGTGTGTGTGTGCGCGCGCAGCCTGCGCAAGAGAAAGAGGCGCAAGAAACAAGGAGGCGGGGCAGCGGGGGAAAGAACGGGCGGAAAGAGGGAGGAAGGGCTCGCCAGAGCGCCCGCAGGCGGAGCTCCTCAACAATTTGCGGGGCGTCTTCGGCGAGGTCTCAAGGCTCCACCCGGGGCCACCAGCAATGGAATAAACACGTAGCCTTGGCATCACGAATTCAGGTTCTTCGTTGCGAAAGCCGTGCTCGCCGGTGATGAATGTGTGTCTACCAAGCCTTCGCGTTCTGCTCGACGGTTTCGACGTCATGTGCGCCGCGACCATTGAGTAGTAGGTACGCTGCCAGCAAGGACTGCAGCAGTTCGTTCAGGGCGCCATCGAGGCTCAGAGCCTCCGCCATGGAACCGTGCTTGGCAGGAGATGAGCACTGTCAACGAGCTGAACACTGCCTGCATCGCCTCCTCGTATGAGGCGCAACGAGACCATACTCCTGCCATCCTTCTGGCACATTCGTTTCACTGGCTTCGTGCCTGACTTATTAGCTGGTCTCTCTCAGAAGGCCCGCGCGCAGTGTGCGCCGCCCGACACTCTCAGCGGCGGCGCCGTCGGGTGAAGACGGTCAGGTGCCCAGAAGGCGGGGACGAGCGCACGAAATGTGCTGGACAAGCTTGCCTCGGGCTCGTGCGCCGCAAGTCATGTCGAGAAGGCGCACTTGTCTGACACGCCTCCTGAGGCGCATTACAACTATCGTCCAAATGCCATGAGCAAGTAAGTAAGATCCTCGAGCCGACGGCAGTCTTATTGTCGAAGCGCCGTGTGACAATCACGATGATATTTCGCTGGTTGCTTTGGTATGCAGGCCTGTTCTCTCTCTCTCTCTCTCTCTTTCTCGCTCTCTCTCTCTCTCTATCTTTATTTTTGTCTTCCTTCACTCTCCTTTTTGTTGTTCTGCTTTGTATATACACATGAATCGATGCCTCCCTCTCTCTCTCTTTCTCTTTCTCTCTTCCTATCCCTCTCTCTATATCCCTCCCTATCTCGTTCTCTCTCTCTCTCTCTTTCGCCCTCCCTCCCCCTCCTTCCCTTTTTTGAACCACCTTCCGAAGTTCTGACATTCCCGCTCTGCCCAGCAACCAATTATGTTTCGAGCGTGTTGTGTGGAGCTCACAGGACATGACGAATGGGCGGGGACTTGATGGGACAGCTTGTTTGTTCAGTGCCGATGGTTTGTTTTCGCATCCCGTTCAATTTCCGTAGCGGAGCTCTATTGCCACTCCATGATTTTCAGCAGGCGGGCCAGTTTGGGAATGTTTGGTAACAAATCTTAGGAGGTTTGTATACCCTCGCTCTTTCGTCTGTAGAGCGTATTAGCGTCGATGAGCGAATTAGCGTCGATGAGCGTCTGGTAATCGATGAGATACCACCGATGTAGCGTCGATTGGCATCGATTTAGCGTCGATGAGCGCCGATTCGCCAGAGCCAGCAAGATGGTTTCGGAGGCTCCCATGAGTTGCCGCAGAAGGCGTGGACACGGGTGGACACGGCAAAGGCACGCTTCTCGCTTCAGAGGGCGACGCGGGGGCAGGCATTACGGCGTCCCTTTGGGCGATTTCCCGAAGACGGACGAGATGAGGAGATCGGGCGTAGAGACATAGTTACGCACATGCACCGATCTTGGCCAGGCCCGTGCTGGGCCCAGGGGCGGAGCATATGCTTCCCTGGCCCAGCCAGGAGGGCGCATGCACACATCCTGGGCCCAGGAAAGGCCTGGCCAGGATGGGTGCATGCGCGCATTTTCTCTTTCCTCCTCTAGGAGACGGCTGCAGGGCGTCGACTTCTCGCGGATCAGAAGGCGAGCCCGGAGAGGCAGGAGGAGAGAGGAGCGACGCCGCCATCCCCCAGCGAGGAGGCCCGCGGTGCCTCCCCGAACCGAGGATCGATGAGGTCTCGGGCGGTGCGCCGCAAGACAGGAGGCCAGGGCCCCACCAGAGGGGGGAGGGGGGGGAAGGGAGCGGGAGGAGGCGGGAGAAAGGCGAAGAAAGGAGACGAGGCGGGAGGAGGAAGGGTGGGGGGGCGAGGCGAAGACCAGCGTTCACAGTCGGGCGCATGTTCTTGAATTGCAATGTGGTCGCGATGAAGTAATTGGGGTTTGGTACCTGGGTCTCGCTGGTAGCGTGGAGAACGGCTGGAGAGAAGCACGATCCCTGGAAGAAAGGGAATATTTGGAGGGTAACCTCAGTAAGGAAGGGAGGAGTCCTGACAGGACAATCCCAAGACAGGGGTGTAATCTCAAGGGGGAGGTGTCGAGATTCCGTTGCCATCTTGGCTCAAGGGCCGCGCCGGCCGCCAAGATGCCGCCTTGTCCCGCGTCGCTCGCGTGCCACTGCGATGCAGCCGCGAAGCCGCTTTCGGCCAGCCGTCCGGCTGCGTGGCCGTGCCCGCCGGGATCGCCCGACGCTGATTCGTCGCTAGCGGCTGCCTGGAGCTGGCGCCCACCAGGGGGGGAGCTTCACCAGGTCAGTATCGTTGAACCGGTCCCTATCCCCATCTGCATCCCCATCCGGATCCCCACCATCCCACCACCCTGGTTGGGGATATGCCCTCGAAACTCGAAGGGAGCAGCTCATATCCGCGCGGGCCACCGGTGAGGGCGTGAGGGCGCGGCGTGGAGGTGAGGGCGTGGCGCCGCGGGCCACCGGCATGCCGTCGGCTCCCGGCGTGCAGCCAGCCGACGCACAAAACGACGAAGGCAAACCAGAATCGAATGATAACAAGTTGCATAAACAGAAATTTCTGGAGTTCCGCGCGGAGTTCTTGGATCGGCGTCGGGCCCCACTGGCGGCGCCTGCGCCGCCATCCCTGGCGCGCGGAGCGCGCCAGGGAGGGGGGTCCTGCAGCACAGATCCCAGAAATCCGCGCTGGCCGTCGAATGTTTGTGTTTATGTCATTTTCTCTTTCTTTTATACCAGGGGTGAGGGCGTGGCGCTGCAGGCCACCGGCATGCAGCCGACCTACGCCCCAGCCCGACGCACAAGCCAACGAGGACGAGCCAGAAGGTCAAGGTCATGGCACGGATGCCAAACCAGTGGCTCTCTACGGCTGAGATGATGCGACGCGTCGTCACGGTGCTCGAGACCCTCCCAGGTCCCTACGAGAGTTTATTTTCATTCCGGGAAGTGCAGCATTTAAAGACAACCAACCGTCCGAGAATTCTCAATCGTGCTAAACCACCATTCCTGATATTCATCGCCGTGGATCAATGTGTTTGTTGCTTGTGCCCTGGTAAGTTTAAATTGTGCCAGAAAGCCTTTCCTGGGACTGCAACACCGCCAAGAAACGTGACTGTTGCGTCCTGACCAACCCTAAGCCGTGCTGGAACACCTTTCCTGGGACTTCAACCCTACGAATTCTTGAAACTGTTGCACAGATGTAAGACGTACGGGCGCGGCGCCAAGGCGAGATCCACATGTTGAAAGCCACCCACACTCCATGCTTGAAACTGCTCCAAATTTTCAAGACGAATGTGCGCGGCGCAAAGGCGAGAACAACATTTTGAAAGTCATCCGCCCTGCTGCACACTTTGAGACGACTGAGCGCGGCGCCAAGGCGACATCAACATGTTGAAAACTATTCGCCCTCCATCCTTGAATCTAATGCAGATTTCAGACTTCAGGATCGCCACTGTTGAAGAAGTCTCAGGCGAAGCGCCTGACCCGCCTTGCGGACTCGCCTAGGGTTGCGACAGGGAGGAGTTAGTATCTACAAGGACAAGGATGGATGAGGAGGAGGAGGAGGGCGAAGGGGAGGAGGAGGAGGAGGAGGAGGAGGAGGAGGAGGAGGAGGATGAGGAGGAGGAGGAGGAAGAGGAGGAGGAGGAGGAAGAGGAGGAGGAGGAGGAGGAGGAGGACAGGCAGCAGCGGCAGCAGCAGCAGCAGCAGCAGGAGGGGAGCAGGAGAGGAGGATGTGCGGCAGCTGATCCGCTCGGTAACAGGAGCGACGCACGCGGTGTTTGCGAGGGAGAGGGAGCAGGCTTTGGCAAAGCAGAGTGTGCCCCCCCCCCCAGGGTGTGAGGGTTATCTTTCGACACTGATGATGTGCTCGGCAGGATTCCACATTGGATACATATCTCTCCTCGCGCCAATTAGTAAGGTGGGAGACGACGAGGAACAGGCGACCACCGAGGAGGATGCTACCCTCTTTGGCCTATCTTCAGTCAGGTTGGACGTGGGCAAGCTCCGCATGGTAGACGAGCTGCTGCAGATCGGAGGGTGGGGTGAGCATGGCAGCGCGACGTTGGCCTGTGAGTGAGAGGGGATATTCTAGAACGGCGCCTCAACCTCTCCAACGCCATCTTGAACGCTCCAACGTCTCGCAGAACCCCCAGTCCAAGTCCAGGTGGTGGGGGTAGGGGGAGGGATAAACCCCTCCCGAGGGGAGGACGAGGGGTTGGAACAATAAACTCTCTAAACCACTCACGCCTTACAGGGCTGGTGGGATTCTAAAACAGCGCTCTTCAGATAATCGCCAGAAGTTGCGAAGTGTGGCAGCGGCAGCAGCAACGACTGGTCAATCGCGGCAGCAGCAGGGAGCGCGAGGAGTGATGCAGGAGCAGGAACTGGAGCAAGATCAAGCAAAGTAAGCACACTTAGAACAGCAGCGACTCCCGAGTTGGACCTGGTCAAACCCTTGCTTCTTACATCCTTCTTTCTATGCTGCATTTGCTGCCTCCATTCTGCAGCTGTCATTGCAGGCGCCGCAGATGACAAAACAAGTGTAGCGGCGCGGGGGGTCAGAACAGGGGCCCAGCTCCGCAGGAGAGTAGGGAAAACACACATTCTACATAGCAACATGCCTCCATGCGTTTGCCGCTTCGTCGGGGGCCTCTGCAAGCGCGTGGGATATCCAGGCATCTCGGAGGCTGCCTGGACGCCATCTCGAGGTCTGCCTGACCGTGTTGTGCTCGTGCGACACGGCTCGGCGCGGCTTGGACGCGTCTAGTTCGGCGGCGAGCCCGGGGGGCAAGTGAGAAGGGGCGGGCCTTCTCGGAAGGCTTGGAAGTCCCTTCTCAGAAGGCTCGGGGGTCCTTCCTGAGAAGTGTTCCAAGCCTTCCCCGAAGACCGGAGCGCTTCTGAGATACCCGCCGCCTTCTGCGAAGGCCTCTTCCTTCTCACTTGCCCCCCTCGCTCGCCGCCGACTAGTGTGGCCGTCTGGGAGCCCTTCGGGCTTGGCGGCGCACGGACAGATGACACCCCCTGGCCGGGCGCACCCAGATCGCCCCTGTAAGCAGGCGATTGCGCACCCGCGCCCTGTGCCCCCGTGTCCGCGTTTGTGGTCTCAACTTGTTCTCCTCTCTTCCCGCATTCCGTCGTGCCCCCTTCCGCTCCCGGACTCCCGGCGCGTCCCGCCCGTTGCCCGACCGACGCTTGCACCTGCTTCGGCTCGCTTGCGCCCGCTGACTCAAGAAGTTTGTGGCCTCAACCCCCCCCGCAGGGCTCGTTCCGATTTCTCCGGTCCGATTCGATTTCGATGGCTTCCGATTCGATTCGATCTCGGATTCCGGTTTGGCTTCATATCTCTCAATGTTGGCCATCTTAGTCAGGTTGCAGATTTCCGCCCTTTCGACTTCTCCCGACTGGGCTGCCGGTTTCCGCCGATCCGATTTTTTTCGACCGCCGATCCGACTTGTCGATTCGATCTTGGGCTCGCATGCCTTGGTGCTGCCCTCGGCGTTTGACCGGTGTCCGGATTCGTGCAGGAGGAGGAAGAGGAGGAGGAGGAGGAGGGGGAGGAGGAGGAGGAGGAGAAGGAAGAGGAGGAGGAGGAGGAGGAGGAGGAGGAGGAGGAGGAGGAGGAGGAGGAGGAGGAGGAGGAGGGGGAAGAGGAGGAGGAGGGGGAGGATCGAGTCGGACGGTGGGGGGGGAGGCGGAGGAGGGGGAAGAGAGGAAGAGGGGAAGGAGGGGGAGGAAGGGCGCAGCGGAGGGGTAGGGGGAAGGGGAGGTGGAGGCCAGACCCATCCCCCCTCTGCGGGCGAGCGAAAGGACGTAGCTGCTTTGGCGGCCTTACTCTCGGACCCCACCCAGAGCCTGGAAGCATTGCATCACTCTCTGTATCCCCGTGAGCCTTGCCTTCGGTAGCGAATCATGGAAGCATCGTGTACCTTCGTAAGTTCCTTTTTTGGAGTGCATTGGCGTCGCTGTGCGTCTGGTGATCGATGAGTGCGTCGATCTAGCGTCGATTTAGCGGCGATAATCACCGTTTAGCGTCGATGCGCAAGAGCCGACACGATGATATGGGAGGCTCCCTTGAGCTGCCACCGAGCCATGCACCTTTCCCTGCCGCCTCTCGTTGTTTTGTTTTTTGTTTTCTTCGTCGCCTCTTCTCTTGGCCTTGGTCCTGCTCGTCAGCTCGCTTCTATATTTCCCCTGGCTGGTTTATGCTGTGCCCCTCTGGCCTGTGCGTGTGCCTGGCATGGAATGGACCGGCGCCGCTTCTGTTGCTTCTCGCAGCGGGCTACCGCGTTCGTCCTGTCTTTTTGGGGGATATCTGAACAAGTGGGCTCAGTGAAAGAGCTCGTGTCCAAGGCGTGGAATTTTTTCAGCTGCTCACAGTGCCCTCTGGGAGGTTTTGGATGAGACGGCCCGAGAGTGGTCTCGCCAGTCACTGGTGGAGACCCCCCCACCTCCAGCTTGCGCGCACGATCACGCGCACCTCCTGGCCAGCTCTCAGGCGCGACGCTCTGTTGCAGGCTTCCGTGGTCCTGGTGCGCGGACCCCACGCATTGGAAGCACGTGGTGCCATGTGGACCGATGGAAGCAAGTGGTGCCATGTGGACCAAGCCCCTGGCGCACCTGGGCCAGGGACAGCTGCCGACACCAGGGCGCACGACCAAGCTGGGAACGGTCGGAAGCTGGGCCGAACTGAGGAGATTGCCGCCGAGCAGGGGCGCAGGACATAGCCCAGATCAATCGAGGACATGGCAGGAGCAATGAAGGATCTTGCAGGCGAGCAGGGCGCAGGACTGGGCCAGGAGCAGTCGGGAATGTGCAGCGCCAAACAAGGAAGCTGTTGGCAACCCAGGCACAGGACCTGGTTCGGAACAGCCGACGGCAGATCCTGACCAAGGAAGACACCGGACCGAGTTGGGACGAGTTGGGAACAGGGCCGAACCAAGACATTGCTGGGCACATGCCCGAACGGGGCGCTGCAAGGAGAATCGCAGGATTTGTCGACAACCAGGGCGGCCAGGACGCCTCATTGAGCTGGGATCTGTTGGGGACAGGGTTGGCCGACCAGATTACCTACTTCTTTGAGTCGGGGTAAGACTCTCTTCAGCGCAAACATCGTAGTCTAGGGAATGTTCGGCTTGCGTTGCCCAAGGCGGGCTTCTGAAGCATGCGCTTTCAATACACTGGCAAGCAGCTCCAGCTGGGCCTCTCTGTCCCCGTCCCCCTTCTGTCACCGAATGCTTTTACTACTCGTCGCAAATTGCCTTCTCGCAAACGCGGGGAAAACATATGTTTGCCCCGATGTAGTTAATTGATCTTAGATTCCCCGCGGCGGATTTGGGCCATTTGCGAGTAGTTACTTCGCGAGTACAGGAACGCGCTTGTCTATTCTGCCCCCCTGGGGGCTGGGTGCTGCGGGAGGCATTCCAGATCTGTTGGCCATGATTCCCAGCCAGGTGTCGGCGCCCGGCCTCCTCGCAGTTGGGGGGGGGGGGAGGGCGGAGAGAAGGAGAGGGTGAGGAGGAGGCAGACGGGGCAGAGGAGGGGACGAGGAGGAGGAGGAGGCGGAGGAGGAGAAGGAGGGAGGAGGAGGGAGGAGGGAGGGGAGGAGGAGGAGGAGGAGGAGGAGGAGGAGGCGGAGGAGGAGGAGGAGGAGGAGGAGGAGGAGGGAGGAGGAAGAAGAGGAGGAGGAGGAGGAGGCGGGGGAGAGGCGGAGAAGGAGGAGGCGAAGAGGAGGAGGAGGAGGAGGAGGAGGAGGAGGAGGAGGAGGAGGGGAGGAGGAGACGGAGGAGGAGGCGAGGGGCGGAGGAGGAGAAAGAGGAGGCGAAGAGGAGGAGGGTGAGGAGGAGGGGGAGGAGGAAGAACAAGGAGAGGTTGGAGCAGGATGTGGAGGAGGAGGAGGAGGAGGAGGAGGAGGAGGAGGAGGAGGAGGAGAAGGGAGGGGAGGAGGGGGAGGAGGAGGAGGAGGAGGAGGAGGAGGAGGAGGAGGAGGAGGAGGAGGAGGATGGTGATGAGGAGGAGGCGAGGGAGAGGCGGAGAAGGAGGAGGCGAAGAGGATGAGGAGGAGGAGGAGGAGACGGAGACGGAGACGGAGGACGAGGAGGAAGAGGAGGAGGAGGAGGAAGAGGAGGAGGAGGAGGAGGCGAAGAAGAGGAGGAGGAGGAGGAGGAGGGGGAGGAGGAGGAGCAAGAGGAGGTAGGAGCAGGATGTGGAAGAAAGAGTGTAACGAGCGGGAATGTGAGGCAGGGGTGGGAAGCGATAGGAGAGATAATCGAAAACACATGGAGTAAGAACGTGGGGGTGGGGGAATGAGTGGAAAACACCCGCAATGCTTTGTCATGGGGCGATTTGGGGGTATAGTTGAAGTGGTGCGGTACGTTTTACATTATAGGCAATGTTTCGGTGACACGGAGGTGTTGGTGTTTAGGTGACACGGAGGTGTTGTGCATTTCGAATGACATTCGATTGGAATTACATGTGCATTTAGATTGACACTTCGTTTTTCACTTGGATTGTAATCGCGCTGGATTGGCACTGTAGCTACCGACCTGTCTGTCGAACCATGTAACTGTCTTTTACATTGGCCCAAATTATGTGACGATGGTGGTGGTGTGCCTGCCGATGGCGGTGGCGGCGGCGACGGCGCCGTACCTGTGAGCGGATGAGTGGTGGTGAGAGGCGCCTTCGTTCGGGCGGTGTTCGAGCCAGAGGTGCACCAACCTACGGGCGCTCAGACGTCCTCGCCAGCGGCCTGCTGGGCGGCGGCGCCTGGCAGAGCCTGGCCTCGCGGCCGGGTCGGAGACCTCAGCAGGGGCGGCGGCTTCCAGCTCCAAGCCAACGCGGAAGGGCGCAGCCTGCGGTAGCAGATCATGGGAGATGTCGCGCCCTCGTAATTCCGTCTTCGAATGGCATCGATTAGCGTCTGGTAACCTATGAGACAGCGTCGGTTCGCAAGGGCCGACAAGATGGTTTGGGAGACTCCCATGAGTTGCCACCGAACCGGCCACCGCCGCCCACCGAGGCCAGGGCTCCATCGGTGGAGGGTCCTCCGCTGCGCCAGCTGCCTCGAGCCCAGCGCCAGCAGAGCTTGGCGCCGCTGTGGTCGATGCCGCGGGGGGCGCCCAGGTGGCGACCCTTCCTGCTGGCGCTCTGGGCCAGCCAGGACAAGTTCAGGGTGACGCTCCAAGAACGCACAGAGCTGGCCAGACGGGAGAAGCCTGCTCAGGCGCGAGTGCATGGTTTTGCGCCTGGCAGTAGCTTCGCGGTGAGGTGATTGCTGCCCGACGGGTCGAACTCGCTGCCGTATTCGGTGACGCCCGTGTTAATGCAAGTCCAGGTCAGTCAGGTTTTGCAGGATCTTGCAGGATCCTGCGCGCAAGCCCGGTTCAATGCAACCCTGGCTCTGCAGGATCCTGCAAGATCCGGCGCCCTGGCTGAACCCCCGCTTGCATTGTGCATCGACACCCGTTCCTTGAGCCCCGCCGTGCGCGCAGGCTCTGCCGTTTTGCGTGTCGGCGGCGCGATCTTCCGCCTCTGCCAAGGTCGTCGCCGCGTCGCCGCGTCCTCCCAGGCGGCGCGCGGGCGCGTGCACTGCCGGAGTTTGGCGCACAGCACTCGGCGCCGGGCACGCCCGACAGCGAGTGGGCAGGAAGTGCCGATGCCGCCGGAGGTTGCGCCATGCCACAGGTCACGCCGGAGTGCTGCGCCTGGCCTGCGCCCCCTGGGCTACACCGCGGGGAGGCTGCGCTGCATACTGCGCCATAGGTTGCGCCGTGGGCCGCCGACATGCAAGTTTTCCCTGCGTTGGTTGCGCCGTGGCGCAAAGGAGGAGAAGGTTCCCATACCCACCCTTCCCTCGTTTTCCCCTTTTGGGGCTTCCTGGGTGGCCCTCGTCGCTACCGCCGCTGGATTCGCCTCGAAATTCTGGTCAGGACGCATCCTGGGAGGAGAGGTCTGGGGAGCAGCGGTATTGGTACTTTCTGGTTTCCCCAGATGTTTCCCAGTGCTCTGACCGCAGGACGACCTGCGACGGGCTTGCCGCAAGCAGCCGTGCCACGGCTTGACGACGTGCTAGCTTGGACGCCTCCTCTTTGATCTTGCCTTCGCCTTTTGCTTGGAGCCTGAGGCCGTCGCCCGTTGCGAAGCCGTTGGGCAAGTCCAAAGAGCAACGCCAGGCGGCACTGGGCACTGGCAGAGCTTGGCGCAGGGTGTGCGAATGCTTTCCGATCTCTGACCGAGTGGGTCAATCTACCTCCGAGCGCCCTCGGGCGAGTGGGCACATGATCGTTCAACGTCAGGTGCCGTGAGATGTTCTAGGCCTCTCAGATGGGGTTGGAGTTGCTGGGTTCGGAGGATCGCACCGCATCGCCGATGCATCGGCGATGCGGCTTGATGTGGAGCCCGATGTTCTCCACGCCGGCGTCGCCGATGCATCGCCGGCGTCGCCGATGTATGGCCGATGCATCGGTGAGCCATCGACGATGCGGCGCGATTCTCCGACCCCATATATTCGGACCACACGTGGGAGGCCTCTCAACGTTCGCCACGTACTGCTCTGCAATGTGCGCGGCGTCGCCCTCACCCCAACACGCTAATGCTACGTGCGTGCGATGCCCCCCCCCCCCCCCCCAGGGGCGGCGCGCCTGCGTCCCGCGTGCTGCTCGGCAGAGTGCGCCTCCACGGCAGGGAGACCTGCCAGGGCTGTCTGGCGCACGGGCCGATGGCCTGGCCTGGGCAGCCGGCAGGCGCGCCAGCAGGCGGGGCGCCCGCGCCAGCGCCCTGCCCAACCTTGTCCAGGCATGCCCCCCTCGTTGCGGCGAGGACTTGCTCGAGCCGCCTAGCGTAGCTAGGCCTACCTAGGTCCTGCCTAGGTCTAGGTGGCCTACCTAGGCCTACCCAGGCCTATCCCGCCTTCGTCTCCAGCCGCGTCGCTTCCCGGCCCCTTGTGGCGGACATGGCCTCGCACCTCGAGCAGACGGGCATCTGCCGCGTGACTCTTCACGGCTGCTTGCGATGCCCGACCGAACGAGGCCCGCGACAAGCTTTGCGAGTCTTTGCCGGCCCATGCCCGCGCAGATGCGAACCGCATGATCACGGATACCGCAGCCGCTGCGGCCAAGAGATGGGGCGCCTGGGTCCGGCGAGTGGAGCCCGACCCGGAGGACCCCCCCGAGGTCTCCACGCGGGGCAGCAGGAGGCAAGGCGCCGGCGCCCTCCCCGGCAGAGAGGACCCTGAGCATCCGCACCGACCTGTTCTTCCGTCCCCGCTCGCCTCGCTTCTTGCCCGCGGCTCTCCTCGCCGTTGCATCCGGCCCCGCTGATGGGGGTCGCGTTTTTTTTTCCCAGGGCGAGGGCTATGATGTTCCAGGACAATATCTCACTCCAATTTACTTGTTTCACTTGTTTTACTTGTTTCAATTGTTAAGATGTTTTGTTTTACTTGTTTCAATTTCTCAGTCCTGGACACTATAACCCGCACATGTGGAGGACAATCGCCAGCCGGTACACCTTTTCTTGAACTGTCCTTGATTTTTGTGCCCTGGTTTGGACATGCGCCTCCAGCTGGCGGCACTTCTTCAGCCGATGTGTCGTGCAGACACGGCGTTATTGATTGGCTATGATGTTTCAACCTGATCCTGCCTTGATCACCAGAGCGAATTTCGAGCGCCAAGGAAATTCCGAAACTGGAGGGCTCTCGCGCGCCGGGCCCTGGGAGGCGGTACTCGCTCGACACTTCGGTGGCGCGCGGGGCAGAAACCGTTTGGATATTCTTCTGGATGCTCGAGACTGTTTTTGGGGATGTGGCCCTTAAGTGCGATGGGAAAAGCACGGGGCGAGGGCGCCGTCGGGCCTCCTGCTGGCCAATTTTTGGAGCCTCCGTGCGCCCCTTTCTCGGGGTTCCTGCGCGTGAACTCATGGGGCATTTCAGCGCGGCTCATTAAAGAGCACAAGTGTGTTGCGTTCTCTCCAGGTGCTCTCTGACCCCCCGCCTCGGTCCGCGCCCTGGTCTCGCGACTCGCGACTTTCTCCTTCCTTTTCCTCCCTCTCCTTGGTCCTTCTTTCCGCCTCCTCCCTCCTCGCCCCCCCTTGAGCGCCGGGCGCGTGCGTCGCGCGCGACGGGGTCGCGCCGCGCGGCCCTCTGGAGCCCCCGAAATTGCGCCGGCGCAATCTGGCCGGGGCCCCCGACAATGGCCAGGCGGTCTCTCTGCGTGGTATGCGACGCGGAAAAATACGCCTATCCTAGGCCTGCTCGACGAGTAAACAACGATATGGACATGGTCGCTCAGAGTCCCGCGCGGATTCCGCGGATCGGCGATGGGCCCCCCTTTGGTGGCGCCGGAGGCAGGGGAGGGGGTCCAGTGCCGATCCGAGAAATCCGCGCGGACCATTGAGTTTTTATGGAAGCGTTTGTTCGGGGATGTGGTCTGCGGAGATTGGAGCCGTCTTACTCCACCAGTCCGCTGACGCGATGGCTCCGGCCATGCAGTTAGCCCCGTTTGCCGCGCTCGAGTTCTCAGGCGGCATCGGCGCCGGCCTGGCCGCGCGGGGGGCGAGCCCGTGCTCGCGGGTCTTCAGCTGCCCGGCGGTGCCCGCCTCCGCGCGCGTCTGCGCGTGCCCCTCGCCTCTGGCCATCGCCGCGGCGGCGCTGGCGCTGGGGCTCATTGTGCGCGCCGCGCTCGAGCTGGGCGCCGTCCGGGGCACCCCCGCGCGCTCGGCCGTCGCGCCAGAGCGGCGCGTCGAGGCGGCCGGCGTCGGGGGGGCCTCCGCTCTCCCGATCGAGGAGCAGGCTCGGGCGCAGATCGCCTTTCCGCGCAAACGTTCGGCGTCGAGGCCGCTCGTGCCTTCAGTCCGATCAGGACGAGGAAGGAGGGGGGGGGAGGAGGAGGAGGAGGAGGAGGAGGAGGAGGAGGAGGAGGAGGAGGAGGAGGAGGAGGAGGAGGAGGAGGAGGAGGAGGAGGAGGAGGCAGGAGGAGGAGGAGGAGGAGGAGGAACAGGAGCAGGAGCAGGAGCAGGAGCAGGAGCAGCAGTAGCAGCAGCAGCAGCAGCAGCAGCAGCAGCAGCAGTAGCAGCAGCAGCAACTGGAGCATGAGCAGGAGGGCGAGGGCGAGGGCGAGGGCGAGGGCGAGGGGTAACAGAAATGCCAGACGGAGGTTTGGATGCTTCTTGGAGTCTCTCCGAAAGTCTCTCGCGAGCTTTTGGCCGGCCTGTTGGGGCGTCTCGGGAGTCTTGGCGGCCCCAGGGGCCCCTTCTCGGGGCCTCTCGGAAGTCTCTCGTTGGCTCGGGGGCGTCTCGGGCGCATCTTGGGGGCATATTGGGGGCCTCTCGGGGCCTCCTGGGGGCCTCTTGGGGCTCTCCTGGGGCGTTTTGGGGGGCCTTGGGGGCCATGGTGGACGCGATCGATCAAAGGGGGCGGAGGCCCCAATGCCGCCTCGCGCACCCCCGCCCCTCGCGATGCCAACATGTGGCCAAAACCAATGTGAAATCATTGGTTTGGGCCTTCTTGCCGAGGCCATCTTGGGCGACACTTTGAAGGGGCGACCCAAGGGGGGGGCGTGCTTGCCGGTATCGCCGCCGCCCCGGCCCAAGGCAGCGTCGCCCAATCTGCCAGCGTTGGCGACGCCGCCTGCGCTCGTTTTGCGGCTCTGGGAGCAAAGGGGGCCCCTTGTGCTTCCCATCGTCATGTTTTCCTCGCTGATATCATGCCACAGTTGCGACCGTGGCATGGCACTCTCGATTCAGACTTGGTAGCACCCTTCCCTCCCGGGCCTGAATGGCGTCAGCTCCCCTCTCCCCCCCTCCTCCCTCCCAGGCCTGAATGGCGTCAGCCCCCCCCCCCCCCACCCCACGACAGGGCGGAGCCCCCCCCTCCTCCCTCCCAGGCCTGAATGGCGTCCCCCCCCCCCCCCCCCCTCCCCCGGGCCTGAAAGGAGTCAGCCTCCCCCCCCTCCTCCCTCCGGGCCTGGGTGGCGTCAGCGCCCCCCCCCCCGACAGAGCGAAGTTTGGGCGGGCTCGGGCCCACGCTCTCGGAAACTCACACGCCAGATCGGCGGATGTTCTTTGTGTTTGAGTAGCTTCCGCAGTGGTTTAGAAACCTCCCGGGTCCCGTTTTCGCGCGTTTGCGGGTGTTCTTGGGCGTTGTTGGGTGCTTCTTGGGGCATTGAGCATTGCGGGGCCGCCGGGCCACCCCGGCAGCCTTGGTGGCCCTCCGGGGACGTCTGGGAAGCTTCGGAGGGCTCCAGTGCAGCGTCGGGCAGCTCAGGGGCCCTGGGGGGGGGGGGGGATGACGGTGTATGCGACAGAGTGCGTCATTCGGCCGGTCCGGTTTTGCTTCCGCCAGCTTCGGCCGACCTGCCGCTGGCCCGACGACGGCGGCAACGACGACGACGACGACGAACGACGACGACGACGAACGACGACGACGACGAACGATGACAACGACGACGGCGACGACGACGACGACGGCGATGACGACGACGACGACGACGACGACGACGACGACGACGACGACGACGACGACGACGACGACGACGACGACCCCGCTGGCGGGGCGCCCTCGTCCCGGTTGCGTTGTTTCAGCTTCTACGCACTTCCCTGCGGAGAGGCACTGCCGCCACCTTCGGCGCCAAGTCCAAACATGAGCAGCCTCAACATGAGCAGGGGATCGCTTGCATGAGCGCACGCGTCCTTCTGAGGGATGGGGGTGAAGAAAGGGTGACTAGCAGAGAGGAGGGCCCCCATGCGGGAAGCGCCGGTATGGGAGAAGGACGCTTGTGTAGTGGAGAGGGCGACAAGGACCGTGATATTGAAGTGGAGGAAAAAATGCACTGTGCCAAATCTAGGGTCAAGGCGGGAGTTGCCCCCGAGTGAAAGTTCTCGAATTGCTGATGTGATGCGAGCGTCCAGCTTATTGTATTCATCTGCTTATGTAATGTGTAGGCGAGGCTCTTCAGCAAGACCGTGCAAAGTGTTTGTATTATTGCCCGAGTGTGGCAGGGTGGCAATGAACCGTCACTGTTACGCTCTGGAATGTAAGCACTTTTGCAGTGTGCATGCCTAGGAGCCTTCCGCTTGTGCACCTCACGTTCGCTTGCCCTGTCAGCTCTAATATTCCTGCTATGTTCGAGTGCGTAGTTCTGTTGCGTAATTATCTACAGTGTTCAGCATTGATCTCGTGCTGTTTGGTCTGGACTAATTACTGACTGCACAGCCGTAATGCACATACATTTGGACACCTCATTCAACACTACGTTTTCGCAAATTTTCTACTCTGGTGCGATCTGTATTCAATGTGCTTCGATACTGCATTCTTGGCCTATGCTCTCCAAATCTAGTTGATGGGCTGACTTGTTTGTACGTCGGACTAGAAGTTTGTATTGTAAATTCGTCAGGGTTGCGAGAGCCTTTTTTTTTCCCGTATCCTAAGTATGGGGCCATTTTTTGTCTGACGCCTCCGAGCCACCCTCATTTCTCTTTCCTGCTTCCCGCCTCTTCCCTCTTCCATCTCATACTCAGACCCACTCACAGTCAGACCTCCAATATTCATACCTATACGACCACCCTTCGGGTGATAAGGAGGTTGTGGGAGGCGGGGAGAGGGGGGGGAACCAACATCTGACTCAATCGATCTCACTATCGATCTCACTCAAAGGGACACCACGGAACACCACGGGACACTTTTCGATCTCACTATCGATCTCATTATCGATCTCACTTCACGGGACACCACGGGACACCTCGGGGCACCTCTCGATCTCATTATCGGTCTCATTTTCGATCTCACTATCGATCTCACTCAACGGGATACCATAGGACACCACGGGACACCTCGGGACACCACATCGATGTCATTATCGATCTCATTATTGATTTTACTCAACGGGACATTACGGGACACTTAATGATTTCACAATCGATTTCTTTTTTTGGGACACCACGGGACACCTCGGGGCACCACATCGATCTTATTATCGATCTCACCATCGATCTCACTCAACGGGACACCACGGGACACCGCGGGACACCGCGAGCCACCGCCGGACGGACGGACAGACGGGCAGGCGGGGGAGAATCATTTGTCGTGACTTCGCCCCAGCAACGGCGGACACCACGGGAGACCACAGGACACCGCGGGACATTGCGAGCCACCGCCAGACGGACGGACGGACGGGCGGGGCGGGACACCACGGGACACCACGGGACACCGCGGGACACCGCGGGCCACCGCCGGACGGGCGGGAGGGGGAGAATCATTTGTCTTGACTTCGCCCTTGCAACAGCGGGCTCATTCCTCTCGCGCGCCCACGCAGCTTCGCCTCGCCCGCACGCACGACACGAGCGAAACGAAACGATTTCCCGGTTGGAGGTCTCCGTTCCACTGCGATCTCACCCCCCAACCTCCGACTCACTGACACATACCCACAGGGTCAGACAGACTTAGGCTCGCTCACACTCAGGTCCACTTATATACACACGTCCTTTCTCATTCAGACTCATTCTTACTCACAGACTCACCCATACCAAGACCATTTATACGCAGACTCGTTTACAGTCAGGCTCATTCAAGTTCAAACTCGCTCATAGTAAGACCCACTCATACTCAGACACCTCGCAACCAGACTCATTCATACTTGGTCAAACTCAGAACTTGCAGTGCCCATCGGGCATGGCACTCGAGCCACCCAAGTGGTTGCCGACCATGGGTGCTCCATGGGCCCGTTCGAGTTCAGATTGTGGGGATGTCTCAGACAAAGTGCCCGTTTTGGAAAGTAGAAGCGGTCCCCTCAGAGCTTTTCAGAGCCCCATCGTCGCCGAGACACAGCAGGCATGGCATTTGGGCCACTCGAGACGGTGTCGACCAGAGGTGTGCACGGGCCCGTGCGCGTCGAGATTGTGGAGACGTCTCAGGCGAAACGCCTGTCTTGGCCCTTGAGACGGGCTTGTTCGCACCTATATGGCGTGGGGGCCTCGAAGGCGTTCAAATTGCATGGTGATCTCATGAATGCCCAGACGTACTAACACCGCGGCCCACTCATGCCCAGACGCGCACATCCAGCTGCGCATACTCAGGCTCCTCTCAACTAGGCCCGTTCACATCCAGGCGCTCATGCGAAAGGTCACTCGTACTCAGCCGCTTGTACTCAGACTCACTCACATTCTGATTTACCCATACCGAGACACTCAGAATTGCACGCGGCCGAAAATCGATGCACATATGGAGATCTCGGCATCGAATACATTGTTCTAGTTATGCTCAAGTAGCGTAGCTTCTTGACTGTGTCATAAGAATCTCAAAGCCTATAAGAGATCTTGCAGCAGCCCAGAGGCCTGGTGGGAGACACCGGGGTCGGCCGAAAGGCCAGGGAATCAACCCACCGTCTTCCGTTAAGCCTGATCTTGAGGCTCCCAGGTCGTCCAATATATCAGAAGATATCAGGTGGAATTGATGGCTTGAGGTCATTGACAGACCTTGGTTTGGTATTGCATCGATTGCATGCTGTCTTTAGACTAGCGACCAGCTTGTGTTCCTTGGGTCTGGGTCCATCCAGGGGTTCGTGAGGCTTCTTGTGAGCCTTGTTGGCGAGCTTACCGGACGGTCGGTCTGCGCGCGAGTGTGCCACACTCCTCCCTAGCCAACTAGCGCTAAACGGCATGGGGGAAGCGAGGCAAGGTCGCAAGGCCCACCAGGAAGTGAGGCAGAAGGAGGTAGGAGGGGGAGAGCAGGAGAGACGCGAATAGTCTGTTGCTATATGGCAGATTGTTCTGGCTCCTGGAGTGCGGGGGCCGACGCTCTGGGCTGGTTCAGGTCTCGCCGACAGAAGCAAGACAGCGGCTGTGTCGCTCCTATCGGTCTCGTCCAGCCCAGCGTGCCGAATGAGTGGGTCTAATGAGACGGTCTAGACACTGGGGTATCACATGGCGTCCGGTCAGTCCACCACTCTGGAGGCACCAGGTCACGAGACACACTTGAACTAGACCAACACGCTCGTATGGCGAGCTCTCAGAGCAAGGGGTAGAGCGCGGGCGGGCAAAGGAAGCCTGGCAGACGAGCCACGTACCACTGTCGGCATCACACCCGCAAACCATAGGTGAACGTTGTTCATGTGAAGCTGCATGAACCCCGACTGGCATCGTTCATTCGACGAGTATCGAAGGCGCCCAGACTGAAGTTGACAAAACCCTGGAAATCCACAATTCATTGGCTGCCACGAGCGCTTCTTGCGTGTGGGTGTGACGTGTGGCCGGCCGGCACCGGACGTCCCTGCTTGTGGACGCGGAGGGCTTTCGCTGACATAGCAGGGCACGGTGGCCATTATTTTCATTGCGATGATTGGTTCCAACATCGACACTATCCGTACGATTATCGTCCGTGTTAGTGTTCTTAATGTTCATCATACTACATTATTGTTTTGACTCGTATTACCACATGGTTGATTCTTATGTAATTGAATATGTTTGGTATCCGCATGCTTGGTAGAGCCCTTCGTCATACTATGACTCCGATTCGTACGCATACGCTTGTTGTTTGTGACTAGTCATTGTGTTGCAATGTTATTTTACGTAGTTTGTATACGAGTAGTATGTACATTCGGCTTATTGCCATTGGAATCCGTACTCGTACCTCTTAACGTTCGTAGTATTGTTCTTATGTGTCGTCGTCCCCTTTCCCCCCTCTCGAGATGAAGTGCCACATCACGGCTGGCGAGCCGAGGTGCATGCAGGTGGCGCCTTTCTCTGCAGCGCGTTGTGATAGGCGGCTCTAAAGGAGACCCTGCGAGCGGGTGCCGCGCGCGCAGTCAAAGGCCGAGCGAGCAGCAGTTCGTCGTCGTCGTCGTCGCCCTCGTCGACGACGACGATGACGACGAGGATGTCTTCGCAGGAAGGCTGTGATCCGGGTGGCTTCGGTGGGAGGCCCCTTGTGCATCTACCAGTCTTGTCATCCCCTCTCCCCCGTCACCTGGTGGGGGTGAGGGAGAAGGACTGTCCCAGGGTGCCACCGAAGGTCCCCCGCACCCCCGCGTGCCCGCCTGTTCTTCTGTTTGGCTAGAGGGAGGAAGCGATTAGGGGGAGGAGGGAGAAGATGAGGAGACGGAGAACGAGGGTGGGAGAAAGCAGGGGGAGTGGGAGTAATGCACGCGTCGACGCCAGTGTTGGGGCCCTTCGCTGATGCCTCCTGCACGCACTCCTGCCCTGGTGCGTCCAGTTCGGGTCGTCTCGGTAGCGGCCGCACGTGCTCGGTGGCTCACACAAATGGGTGGGTCGATGGAGGCGGTTGTTTCTCGGAAGGGGTCTGAGGCTTCCAAGAAGGCTTCGGAGAAGGCAGGAGAGCCTCAAGACGCCCCCTGCTTTCTTAGACTTGGCATCGCTCGGACGTGCGCACTGTTTCCGCGGCGAGGGCCACCGCGGAGCATCTTGGATCATCTTTGCGAGAGAAACATGCGCACGAAACCGAGAAAATGCACGGGGAAGGGACGTCCCAACAATGGCGAGTAGAAGGCCGCCCACTCGCCCCCCTCCAACCCCCTCGAAGCCGACAAAATGCACGGGGAAGGGATGTCCGAGCAATGGCAAGTTAGAAAGCCGCCCACTCGCCCTCCCCAACCCGCCTGTGCGCGCGGCCACGTGGAGACGCGCCCCGCCCCCTATTCCGCCTCTCTTTTCTCCGCCTCTTCCCCCCCTCCTGGGCATCGCTCGGACGTGTGCATTTTTTCCGGCGAGAAGCATCTTGGCTCATCTTGCGAAACAAAAGAGCGCACGAGACCGACAAATGCATGGGGGATGGACGTCCGGGCGATGGCAGGTCTTCCCACCTTGTCGTTCGGGTTCGGCGTCCTGGATTTGTCATGCAGAGCGCAGGGCGCAGAAGCACCCGGTGCGCAGCGATCAGGAAAGTCTCTTCGGCGCGGCTGGCAGGGCCGACCTACAGGGGGCACATCTTTGCTGGAATAGCGTCCAGGGGGCTGCTGTGCGACTCGGGGGACGCTCCGCGGGGGTTGTGGGCTGGGGGGGGGGAGTCGGGGCCATTGGGACTTCGAGACGCGCGCCTGGGGTCGAGCTCGCCTCCCGGCCCCCCCCTCCCCCAGCTCTGCCCAGGGCGATGTCGTCCGCTGGGAACGCGTGCGGTGCGTGTTTGTGCAGCGCTCGATGCGCTGCATTAAGAGGTGCCTGTAGCTGGACTGCCAGCGACACCAAAACATCGCAGCCGGCACTGTTTGGGGCGCTCTGCGGCAGTAGCCTGAAGGCTATTACTCGTCACCTCTAACAGCGCATTCGTTTTGCTGTCCGCGTGGTGGCAGAGAGGGGCAGGTGATTGGCGTTGTCCACATCTACGTTCGGCAGACCTCATGATGTCGTATGTGTTGGAAACCATGGGAGCCATGCGGTCCAAGAAACCAGTTCGGAAATGAAGTGCGTGCGTGGCGCTCATCTTGGCGTGAAGTGCACCTGTCACGCTGGACATGTTTGACAGCGATATGCATATAGCTTGCGCAAGACATGCGTGAGATGTGTGAAATAAATTGCACTGTTGGCTGTAACATGCTACCTCGCTATCGCATGCTCACACATACAATGCACCACCACTGTACGTATGTATCCCCATCTTGCTTTTAGGATGTTCATCTCTGAAGGTGGCATCCGTGCACGGCCTAATTACTTGGGCCTTGCGCCTATTTGGAATCCCAGACGGCCGATTACCTGGACGAAGTTTAGGAATTCATGACCTGCCATGCGCGAAAGAGTTGCACTCCCAGCAGACAGTATTCGTTGACTGGTGGCGCGTGTTTGAGAGGGCGCGGTAGTCTCTGGCTGCGCCTGTTTGACACATCGTGCCGGGGACCTTGTGCGCAGTGGGATGCGCACCCTCGTAATTGGCGGTCGTGAGAGCTGATGCCCCCTTTCTGATGGTTGACTGACTTGAAGTACTGGGGTGGACTTCATGGGTGCCAAGACAGTGCGTTGAACACACGGTGCGTTGGGCAATGTGGGGATTCCAGATTGGGGATTTATGGGATCTGGGCCGCTTTCTGGCTCGAAAGTGGGGGGCTATTCCAGAAACGGTCTGGTGGCACATGGCCAGGTTTGGGCTTGTTTTGTCTTGCAAGCCATTGGACAGCATTTGATCAGGTGGTCTGGGCGCCACCACGAATGTTTTCGGATTCATGTGAGTTGGTGCCACGGGGGGACTCCTTGTGGACCAATGCGTCCTCCCTCGGCCAACCTTTGAAAGCCAGTGAGCATGTCCTGTTGCTACTCTTCCTATGCATGCTTCAGCGTACACGTACGTGTGCGACGCTGCCGCGCGCGCCGCGCCGCACTCGCCGACAGGGCCTCCCACCGCCTTAGCTTCGCCGCGGAACCTCTTCTGCCGAGGGGGTTCGCGGAAGGGGGGGTATATTCTCTTCCGCTCTCACCAGGAGGAGGCAAGAGTAGGAACACCATGGCAAGGATCAGCGAGCGAGGGAAGAGGGAGGAGGGGAAGGAAGCTCGGATGGTTGAGAGTGACACGTCCGAGCTTACATGAGGAAGGGAAGCCCATCATCATGATATGAGACAGGGACTGAGTGAGAGAGAAAGAGAGCAAGAGAGAGAGAGAGAGAGAGAACGGAGAGAGCGAGAGAGAGAGAAAGAGAAATATAGAGATAAAGACATACACACATACATACACACACGCACTTTTGGCGTTCGCGGCCTCGCGCGCGGCGATGAGATGAAGCAAGTCACGATCGGCAGCCGAAGCACCAGAGCACAGGACGGGAGCCCGCGCCCACACGCACGCACACACACACACACCCGCGCATTCACGCTTAGTGGCACTGGCAAAAGCACACACGCGCACACACACACACATATTCACAAGCATACACACGACACGCACACACGCATATACACACTCACATCAACAAACATATACACACACCGCACATACTGAAACGCACGCGCGCGCATATATTCAGACACGCGCGCACGTTGGTACTGCCACACACACATATATATATACATACAGGCGCTTACATCTACATGTATACATACATGATACGGTGGTATTGACACGCAGACACGCGCGCGCATTCACACAAACACACGGGAGGGGGGCGCAAGGGGCCTTTCGTGGGCCGTCCTGGGGCCGCATCGGGATTGTCTTGGATCCGTAGGGGACGGCATATTTGGGTCGGGTGGGACGAATGGGGGCTCTCCGGAGCGGCCTCGGTGCACCCGTAAAATGTATCTTTGTTGGTTTCTACATGTATAGGCGAGGTATAGCCAAGGCGTCGGTGGATGCATGATGTGTGTTGGGACAGAGAAGTATCAGGATGGGTCAGAGGCTAGCCCGCAGCCTTCGGCCCAAGAGCCCGTCGAGAGGAAAAGGCTTTCTTCAGTATCCGACGTAGATTGCAACATGGTAGCGGAGCGAGGTTCCAGCTGATCCACGGCAGCGGCAGCGGCAGACGCTAGCAGATGGCCACAGTCGAACAGTTGGCCGCGGCGCTCCAAGAGCTCCGACGGCAAGTTGAGCAGGAGCGAGCTCAGAGGCTTGCGGCAGAGCAGGCAGCCCAGGGCGGTGGCAAAGCCAAGGGCCAAGGAGACGGTGCTGGACAGGAGCAACACATCGATCCAAGAGTGCTGAAGAAGTGTCCAGTGTTCAATGGCAAGGACGAGCAGTGGCAAGAGTGGTCCTTCATCTTCGATCTCTGTGCGGCATGGCGCAGTTGGAGGACGCATTCGATTGGGCAATCAGAGAATACAAAGACGTGAAGTTCAGTGTGCTCAGCGAAGCGGAGCAGCAGAAGGCCGAGCAGCTCAACTATCTGTTGGTCAACACGGTGCGTGGCAAGGCCCTGGCACTAGTGCGAGGCTCAGAAAACAAAAGAAAAAAAAACGGAGTAGCGGCCTGGAAGAAGGTCAACAGCGAGTACCAGCCCGACGTGGGAGGAAGGCACGCGGCGCTGTCGGTGGGAGTTCTGCAACCAGGATGGGGCCCCAGACGCGCTGGCCAGGAGTTCGCTAACGACCTTATGGAGCGGGAGACTCGCATCGGAGAGTACGAGATGGAGAGCGCCGAGGAGGTCAGCGACCAGTTGAGTATTGCAGTGCTGGCAAGTCATGCGCCAGAGCCGATCCGAGCGATGGTGACTGGCGACCGGACCAGCCAACGGCCAGTGCATAGAAGCGCAGAAGAGCATCAAGGAATACCTGCAGTTTGGGAGATCCTTCGATCGCGACGGCCGCGGAGTTGGATCCGAGCAAGGATCTAGACAGATCCCCACGGAGGTGGGCGCGGCCTGGAGTGGAGGAGACAAGAGCAAGGGCAAAGGCAATAACAGTTGTTTCATATGCGGACGACCTGGACATCAAGCGAGAGATTGCAGGCTGGCTAGAAGGAAAGGAGAAGGCGAGGACCAGAAAGGTCGACGTCGAGGTCATTGACCGTCGGGGCCCGCAACCAAGTTCGAGGGCGAGTGCAGGCACTGCCACGAGAAGGGTCACACATCGGCAGAATGCCAGTCCCGTCTTCGAAGAGGGCCACCAGTGAAGAAGGCGAATTGCCCGGCCAAGGCGGTCGTCTAAGAGGTTCATGCCGAGAGCGACTCAGACGACGAGCGCGGCTGCCGCGAGTGCGAATCGGGCCACTACGGCGAGCGCGGCGACATGGAGGGCCAGTGCGAGACCGCGGATTACTACCACGAGAGCGCAGAGGACCAGGACGAGGAGCAGCGCGATGCCGACGCGATCGCGGACGACAGCCCCATCAGGCCGATTTACTTCGAGCGCGTGGACGACGGTGGCCATGGCGGCGAGGAGCAGGAGGCTTGGATA